TTTTTTTTTCCGGTTGCAGCCGTCATTGTTGTTTGGCGGGCACAGGCTGGATTCGAACCCTCTACCTTAGGTGTATGTGGCTGGCGCCTTAGCCACTTGAGCCACAGGCACTGAGCCTATAGAGGTTGTTTCAAAGGAACTAGTTGGTAAGGGAGAATTATAGCTGTCTATTTTGCAAGTTTGGGGATGTGTTAAATTTTTATTAAAAAGGACCATCTTTTTTATACTAAACATATAATTCATCAATGAATAATAATTCAGAACACATCCTACTGAGGTGGGTCAGAAGCGTCCTCATCATGTGTGAAGGACAGGACATGTACATAGACCTCAGTTTTTTCCAACCTGAAATGAGTATCCTAAGTTGAAGACAAATTCTTACCACAAATTTTCCTTTGAAAAGCTTACCATGTGAAAAGCACTAAAAATTCACATAGAATTGTGTTTGCCTTTTTCACTATAGTTTCTTTTGACTCAGCTAGTTCTCTTATTGCCCCACTGCTGCTTGGCTGTTACGTAAGACCTCCGTAATGTCTCCTTTTTGTTCCTAAAACTATGAGTAGTAGTACAATGTAAGTTAAGCATTTGATTTTTGGAGTCAGGTTTACCTTCAGTTTCTATCATCTAATAGCTGTGTGACCTTAGACAAGTGACTTAACCTGTTTGAGCCTCCATTTTCTCATCTATAAAATGAGGAATAATAGATTAGTTGAGAGGATTAACATTTAATAAATATTAGTGTGTTTATTTCTTTATACCTAGAGTGACTGCCTATCCTGTTTGCCTGGTACGGTTCTGGATTTTATCCATTACCCTAGCATGCTGAGCAATGAGTGCCTTCTTACACTCTGAAAAGTACCCTGGTTTATGTGGTCACCCTATTTATAATTCTCTGGATGATGCAGTATAGTCATTCAAATGAGAGCATCTAATTTTGAAATATTATTGAAGAGCCAAAACAAAGATGTTTTTATTGGAATGTCTTTTTCAATAGATTTTTTTTCTGACACAAATGTTATTTTATGTAGAACTTATTTGTTGATTACAAGGGGGTGTGTAGACAACGAGAGAGCTTAGAGCAGCTGTTCTCAACCTGTGGGTCGCGACCCACAGGAACTGTATAAAAGGGCCACGGCATTAGGAAGGTTGAGAACCACTGGCTTAGAGCTTGTGGTGGAACTGAGATGTGCTCTACCTCGCCACTCCGTGACTCCACCCCCTGTAATACATATGTACTTGTAAAATGTAGGTGTTTGTCAGACTCAAAGCTAGGCTCTTCCGAACTGTGACTTACCCTGTTATATAGCTACCTTCAGATCCTATCCCTAGGTATGCCAACTCCCTTACCCAGGTACTATTTCACATTGCTCTTAGCAGCCTGCTCCTAATTATGTACAACTGTTTTTCTCCTGCAGAAATATGTGGCCTTTGCTCCATACCAATTACAGAACTCTGGTGGAGCCCCCATGCCTCTGTTGAGACTCAGACTGCTTTCATTTTTGTTTCTGTCTCTGTTCATTTTACTAAAGGATTCACCTTGGTGCTTTAATCTCAGAATGTGTAAAATAATACTTGGCAGTATACAGTGAGACTTAATAATGTACTGCCCAAATAGGACACACGGTAAAAAAGTTTAATGAACTACCAGTAAAAGGTGGTATTTGGAATCCTGGGAAGAGATTGGGAAAAGGTCTTGGAGAGAACCACGAGTTTAACCAAGCATGCTCCTGCTCTCTTGCCATGGAAGCTTCAGTGCCTCCACTCATGTGCCTGTGTCCTTAACCTGTGGGGCTTAATGGGCTTAGTATGTTCTCCTATACCAGCTCAGGCTAGTTTATTGCTTTTAAAATGAACACCCTGTACTTAGCCGTGTGATGGAAATGAGGCTTAATAAATGGGGTTGAGGGGGGTCGGAACTGCTCAGTGTTCCATGCTGTGCATCTTGGACTTGCCTCAGGCTGAGTTCTTCACAATCTGAAGAGCTATTGCTGAGATGTTTTTCTCTTCTCTCTTGAACCGGTGAGCCTATGATGGCATCAGTGGAATCCTGCAGAGTCTATGTGCTCAGGGTGCCAAGGCAAGTGCTAATGTGCCAAGCTGATGTGCTAATCCACAGTGTGCATGCCTTGTGTGAGGTAGCTGGTAATTTCATGAGCGGCAAAAGGCGGCTTCAGCTGAAGGCCTAGAGGAGATGAGTGTAGCTCATTTCCATTCATTTAGGTCTCCTGAATGAAGCTGTTCATAATAAACAGTGGAAGGATTTTGGAAGTTGTGATTTTAATAAATGGCTCCAACTCTTGGGGTATTTATTGATTGTATTAAGGGGAACCTTTTGGGCACAGGGTTCCATGGGCATAATGGGAATTACTTCATCCCTTTTCTCCAGGCCTAGCTTGACCTCAAGTTAAGGCTTTTGGGCCATGACCTGTTTCCTTTATGGTCCGCAGAGCCTGACTTTAAAAGAGAGTGAGTTATACCTATCAGACACGTTAATAGTACAGAGATTCTGATCTGCCACCTCATCTCCTTCCTCAAAGACTTTAAGGAAAACTTCTTTGGGCTTTTGGGACTATTAGCTTTATTTTGGAGATGTAGAAAAGAGACATCCACTTTGAACTTTTAAAATGCATCCTCCCATCTCTTTCCAATTTCAGAAGAGAGGTCAATAAATGGATAAATCTATGTGCAAGGTAGAGAATTGAAATAGACTTCTTTTCTTTATTTGAGGCAATGCTTTTAAGAGTCCCTGGATTAGGACTGTAGAACTATGGTTCTTAATCTCCTGAGTAGCAGATCCTTTGAAGAATTTTATGAAAATCATGATTTTTCTTCCTTCAGAAAAATTCAGGAGCACAAAAATTTACATATACTTTCAGAGGATTTGTAGGACTCCTGAAACTCACCAGTAGATCCTAGATTTTAAAAACTCTGATTTAGAAGGCTAGGCTTATAAGCCACAGTCACTGTGAAATTGCATGTCCAGAAACTGCTAAGAGATTAAGTTTCCAGCCTGCGGTTTGTTTCGGAGTTTGGAATGAAGCTGAAGTTGTTGGTATTGTCATCCCCCTCTTCGGGATGCTCCTCAGCTTCCCAAGGGACTCATTATAAATGCCTTGAGGGTTCAACTCAGGCACATTCAAAACAGTATTTCAGCTACTTTGGGGGCTTTTGTACTGTCTCACCTCTGCTGCTTTTCACATGAAGTGTGGATGCCCCTAAACCCCCAACAAAGTTTCCATAAGAGTGTTTGGAATACTAGACTGAGTATCAAAACTAAACAAAATAATTTGCTTTCCTGTGCCTCTTAAAAATAAATTTCACTGTAGTACTTCTCAAATTACTTCAAGGGCTAACCTGATGATAACTGACTAAATCTTACTCTTATGATTTGATTTCTCTAGATGGACTATATCGAAGGCAAGAACCATGTCTCACATACATATATGTATGTATATGCACACAATACTATTACTGTTTATTGAATAAAGTAATGTAGATGATCATCCCTAGGAGAAAGTAAGTTGGACTCACTTGGTGGCTTTGGTTCTCTTTCCCTTTCAATTGGCATGAAGTGTTTTTCTTAGATTCTTCCCATGTGGGTGCTAAGAGAGTTCCCACAACTACAGGTAAGAAATTGATGAAAATTTCCAACACCTTAGTAGATCCTTTTATAATGCCAGAAGCAGGAGATAAGGCAGAAGACATCTAAATACATGCCTCCAGCTGCTTAGCCCAGTAGTACTAGTTTTAGGAATATATTTAGACGTAATGGGGAAGGGAACTTGAATTTCTCACCATTGAAACAAGATTTTTTTGTTTGTTTGTTTATTGGGGATTCATCGAGGGTACAGAGAACCAGGTTACACTGATTGCATTTGTTAAGTAAAGTCCCTCTTATAGTTGTGTCCTGCCCCCAAGAGGTGTGTCACACACCATGACCTCCCCACCCCGCTCCCTTCTTCCTTCTCTCTGCTCTCCCATTCCCCCACTCTCCACCATATACAAGGTCATCAATTGTCCTCATACCAGAATTGAATACATTGGATTCTTGCTTCTCCATTCTTGTGCTGCTTTACTAAGAAGAATGTGTTCCACTTCCATCTGGGTTAATACAAAAGATATAAAGTCTCTGTCCTTTTAGTGGCTGAATAGTATTCCATGGTATACATATACCACAGCTTGTTAATCCATTCCTGGATTGGTGGGCATTTAGGCTATTTCCACAATTTGGCAATTGAAAATTGAGCTGTGATAAACAGTCTAGTGCAAATGTTCTTATGATAAAATTTTTTTTTCTTCTGGGTAGATACCCACTAATGGGATTGCAGGATCACATGGGAGGTCTAGTTTGAGTTCTTTGAGGATTCTCCATACTTCCTTCCAAAAAGGTTGTATTAGTTTGCAGTCCCACCAGCATTGTAAAAGTGTTCCCTTCCATTGAAACAAGTTTTAAACCCTTAGCGTGAGAGCTATTGCTCAAAGTTGAAACTAGTGCTCTGGTTTACACAAACTTTGGATTTAAAAATCAGGGAGGTTTTCACTTAGGGTGTTTGAGATTTAGGGGCCAATGATTAGTTGACCAGTTTGATCTTGGGAGGTATGTTGGAGCTCTGAAAGTAGTAACAGCTCTGCCCAACAGTGCTGAGCAAACTTGTGGTTCTTATCCTACAACCCTGGCTGCCCCTTCTGCACCAGAGGCTGAGCTCAATGCTCAAAAGCAATATGTGCCCTTGTCTTTGAAACACACCTTCTTTAGAATTACAGTTTTCTGGGAACTGGGCCAGTGTTTGTCCTAGACATAAACTCAGGCTCTAGTTGGCACTACATTTTTTGTGTTTTCTTTCCTTTAAGTACATCACTTAGGCAGGATTTAGAGGAGAGGGAGACCTTCAGAATTTTGCTGCTTTGCAAGTTGAAATAGGTAATTTCATAGAGATAACAGATGTGTCCAATTTATCTGGTAACTAATTCTGTTTCCTGTCAATAGGTAGTGGTATCTAACTTCTAATTCAGTACTTGAGTTTTTATTGCCCAGCTTCTGAGCAGCAGACTTCTAGCAAGCAAGACATGAAGATTCCCAGTGTTCACTTATGGAGAGTAGCCCAGCTGGCTTGTCATGCTGGACTAGATGAATTGTGAATGTTAATTATACTGATCAATACAGTGGCCTTGGTAACAGACTTGTAGCTGCTGTAGAATCTGTTTACTTCAGGTTTGTAACAGAAAAGAGACCAAGCTGGTTGGGGACATGTTGTTCTCAGGGTAATTAGCAGCGTTGTAAGTCCAAAGAAAATGCGTCTTGGAGGGGCTAACCTTAGTCCACCCCTTCCCCAGGTTTTCCCAGAGGGAAGCGTTACTCTGGGGGTAGTTTCTGTTCTTGTTTGCCAATTGATAATGGCTGGGAAGCATTACTCTGGGGGTAGTTTCTGTTCTTGTTTGCCAATTGATAATGAATTGAGGTTGGCAAAGGCTTGGTTCTTAGTGGAGGCAGGGTAAAGGATGTTTACAAATCATAAAGGTTAGAAGGAGAGTGCCTGTGTTGAGAAGCACCTTATTTTCATTTCCCTACCTAGTTTGTAACTAGGAGTGAATAGTCGATGAGTTCAGCCTATGCATTCAAGAGAAGGAACTCCTCCTATTTGGGGAGTAGGGGTTTCATAATTCTGCACATTCTTTTCTGACTCTACAGCAAGGGGATTAGCTGAGTTCTGGGCATGTTTGGAATGAGAGCACTTTGCCAATTTTTACTGAATTTGGACTAAGCCATTATAAAAATACAGTCTGTGTCTTCCTCAGACAGGCTCTTTGTCATGTTCTCTTAACCCCTTGTGAAGAAGCTACCTGATGGATCGTCTGTACCTGACAGATGGAGTTGGTGTAAAAGGTAGATTCTCCACTTACTTTGTCCTGTTTGATCTCTGAACAAGGCATATCTAACCCACATGTATGTACCTTGTCTTCCTCAAATCACTTTATCAGGAGCCTGGTAAACTCTGTGTGTTTGTGTTTGCTTTTCTAGATCCTGCTTAGATTTATTTCTTAAATCAGTACTTCTCATGGGGTGAGAACAAATAGAGGGTATCAGTCACATACAGAACTTTTTCAAAATATTTATTAACTGGGCCCTAAATTAGACCAACTTAATCACAGCTGGGGAAGGGCAAGTGGAGAATGGGTTGGCATTTTGAAATAGCTACCCCCGATAAAAATCCCAGGTCTCAGATTTGGAACTACTCTTTTAGATTATCTAGCAAGGCTGCCCAAAGTTGTTACAAAATCTGATACTGGGATGGTAATGGAGCTACCAACTAAGTTGGATGACTTTGATCATGAGAAAAATTCTTGTGCCTCGTGTGGAAGGTCCTCAGTTTACTCTTCTTCAAGGCATTCAGAGTAAGCCATGACCAGAAATTGTGCAGCCTTGTCCACTTAAGATTGAGTACCTTCTGTGTTTTAGGACCTGGCTTAGGCACTTATGATGCATTAGTGAACAAAACAAAGATTCACACTGTGTAGAGCTTACATTCTTACAAGATTAGTATTTAGATCATTTAAGTCTAGTGTAGTGGTTCTTAACTATTTGGGGTTGGGAGCCCTGCTAGAGATAAGTTCATATTCCTGAAAGATGCATATACAGTCATGTGCCACTTAACAGTAGGATAAAGTCTGAGAAATGTGTCCTTCAGTGATTTCATCATTGTGAGAAGATAACAGAGCATACTTACGCATACCTGGATGGGATGGCCTACTGCACACCTAAGCTACATGGGGTCTGTTTTGCCTAGGTTGCAAACATGTATAGCATGTTACTATGTTATTTGGAACAGATGGTATTTATGTATCTAAACAGAAAAGGTACAGTAAAAATATGAGGTCTCAGCTTGGCACCCATGTTCAATGGTTAGGGCACTGGCCATGTACACTGGGGCTGGCGGGTTCGAACCTGGCCTTGGCCTGCTAAACAACAATGACAAGTGCAACAAAAAAATAGCTGGGTGTTGTGGCAGGTGCCTGTAGTCCCAGCTACTTGGGAGGCTGAGGGAAGAGAATCACTTAAGCCCAAGAGTTGGAGGTTGGTATGAGCTATGACCAGGGCTGTCTACCAAGAGTGACATAGTGAGACTCTGTCTCAAAAAAAAAAAAATGAGGTCTGATAGTTCAGTTTGCAAACTCATCCTAGAAAAAGTGCTACATACCTCATTGTAGAATATCACTGTAGTCACCTTTGGAGTACTTTGGAGTATGCCCTTGGGAAGCTATGCACTGATGCCAGTGCCTACTCTACCCTTCAAAGCAATTTTGAAACCCTTTTTCTGGAATGGCCATCAGAGCTGTTGTCTTATTACCCTTGATGTCCTGAATGTCATCAAAATATCTTCCTTTCAATATTTCCTTTATCTTTGGGTAAAGAAATAAAGTCACCAAGGGCCAGGTCAGGTGAATTGGGAAGGTGTTCCAATAGTTATTTGTTTACTGGCTAAAAATTCCTTCACAGATAGTGCTGTGTGAGCTAGCATGTTGTCATGATGCAAGAGCTGTGATCTTGGGGCAAGATTTTCAGTTAATATTTTCCTAAGTGTTTCTCTATTGATGTTTGCTTGGTCTGCTATGCTTCTCCCAGTCAGCTGATAATTTTGACGCACAGTTTGATGAATTGTTCTAATGTTTTGTCAATTCTGCTGGTTACTGACCTCTTTTCATCAGTGAGTTTCTCTTCCCTCAGAAATCCATTTCTACACTACTGTTTTCTTCAGGACATCATCCCCATAAACTTGGATTAACATATCTCTGATTTCACTTCCACTCTTGCCAAGGTTATCAAGAAATTTATGAATGTTTATTCCTAATTGAAGCTCCAACATTCCCACAGTGGCACACAATGAATGCCATTAAGCAAAACACAACACAGTCACATGAACACAACCCTGAGAACTGATATGCCAAGGTTATGAAACCTTACTGAGTCGTTTATACAAGTACTGCTAACATAACCGTACAGTGACAAGTTCATGAAATTAATTGTCAAACCTTGTATGGTATGAAAGATAAAAAGTGGGCAGCACATGGTGGGTCGTGTCTGTAATCCCAGCACTTTGGTAGGCCAAGGCAGAAAGTTGTTTGAAGCCAGGAGCTGGAGGCCAACATAACGAGCCCCCTTCTCTATAAAAAAAATAAGCTGGGCATGGTGGCATGTGGCTATAATCTCAGCTACCCAGGAGGGTGAGGTAGGGGGATCATTTGAGCCCAGGAGTTCAAGGCTGCAGTAAACTACGATTGTGCTACTGCACCTTACCCTGGGTGACAGAACAAGACCCTGTCTCAAAAAAAAAAAAAAAAAAAAAGAAAAAATGGTATGTTTCTATAGGGCACTTAACTATGAACGGATCGTGCAGGATTGGAAGTTACACTGGGTGAGTCAGTGGTGAGTGAATGTAAAGACAAGGATATGCTGTAGGCTTTATCAATGCTGTATACGTGGCTATACTAAATTGTTTTTAATTTAAATTTTTTTTTTTTTTTTGAGACAGAGTCTCAAGCTATTGCCCTGGGTTGAGTGCTGTGACATCACAGCTCATAGCAACCTCCAACTCCTAGGCTCAAGTGATTCTCCTGCCTCTGCCTCTCAAGTAGCTGGGACTACAGGCACCTGCTACAACGCCTGGCTATTTTTTGCTTGTAGCCATCATTGTTGTTTGGTGGGCCTGGGCTAGATTCAAACCCAACAGCTCAGGTGTATGTGGCTGGCACCTTAGCTGCTTGAGCCACAGGCACCAAGCCAGTTTTTAATAATAAATTTATCTTAGCATGCTATAACTTTTTGCTTTATAAATTTTTTAATTGAATTTTTTGACTATTTTGTAACAGTACTTTGCTTAAAATACAAACATTGTACAGCTGTACAAAAATATTTTCTTTGTATTTTTATTCTATAGGCTTTTTTTTTTTTAGAGACAGAGTCTCATTATGTCGCCCTGGGTACAGTGTGGTGGCGTCACAGATCACAGCTACCTCAAACTCTTGGGCTCAAGGGATTCTCTTGCCTCAGCCTCCCATTAGCTGGGACTACAGGCACGGCCACAATGCCTAGCTATTTTTTGTTGCAGTTGTCGTTGTCTAGCTGGCCTGGGCTGGGTTCGAACCTGTCTCCCTTGGTGTATGTGGCCAGCGCCATAACCACTGTGCTACAGGTGCCAAACCTATGGGCTTGTTTTCTATGTCTAAATTTTTTATTTTCATTAGACTTTCATTAAAAACTAAGATACATATTAGCTTAGGCCTACATGGGTTAGGATCATTAGTATTCCTCTTTTCCATCTCCATGTTATCGTGTAACTAGAGGTCTCCAGGGGTGGTGACAGGCATGAAGCTGTCATTTCTAATGACAACAATGCCTTCTATAATACTCTTGAAGGACCTGCCTGAGGTTGTTCTACAGTTAACTTTTTTTATAAGTATACTTTAGAATATTGATTAAGCCAGGCACAGTGGCCCACACCTGTAATCCTAGCACTCTGGGAGGCCAAGGTGGGTGGATTGCCTAAGCTCACAGATTCAAGACCAGCCTGAGCCAGAATGAGACCTCATCTCTAAAATAGCTGGGCATTGTGGCAGATGCCTGTAGTCCCAGCTGTTCCGGAGTCTGAGGCAAGAAAATTGCTTGAGCCCAAGAGTTTGAGGTTGTTGTGAGCTATGATGCCACAGCACTCTACTGAGGGCAACAAAGTAAGACTCTGTGTCTCCAAAAAAATAAAATAATGATTAAAAGTAACATACAGCAATCACATAAACCAGTAACACAGTCATTTATTATCATTATCAAGTGTTATGTATGGCACATAATTGTGTGTGCTAGACTCTAAACAACTGGCAACACAGTAGGTTTACACCAGCATTACTACAAACATGGGTAATACACTATGCTACAGTGTCACTAGAGATGATAGGAATTTTTCAGCTCCATTATATTCATATGGGATCACTGTTATATGTAGGATCTGTCATTGACTAAAATGTCATTGGGGCACATGTGACTACATATATAACAATTCACATTGTTATATGGGGGAGGAGTTGGCAGCCTAAAACCCAGCCATGGACCCTGCCCTAAGAACCTAGAATCTTGGCTTGGCGCCTGTAGCACAGTGGTTATGGTGTCACACCAGCCACATTCACTGAGGGTGGCAGGTTCCAACCTGGCCCAGACCAGCTAAACAACCATGACAACTGCAACAAAAAAATAGCCGGGTGTTGTGGCAGGTGCCTGTGGTCCCAGCTGCTTGGAAGGCTGAGGCAAGAGAATCGCTTAAGCCCGAGTCTGAGATTTCTGTGATGCCCCGCCACTCTACCGAGGGTGACATAATGAGACTTTGTCTCCAAAAAACAAAAACCTAGACTCTTTGTCTAGAATTGAGAACACTGGTGACTGGGATAAAGCCAGGACCTGGCTGTTGGGACTGTTATCTCCTAGCCACACTGGGTTGTTGTTTCTCGATCTATATACAACTGAGGCAGTTTGCAAGGAAGTCAAGGGTCTCTGTAGAAAAAAGAGGGATTAGTCAGGCCTCCTGTAAGCCAACGGCATTTCTCAAGTCTGTATTTTATTTGAAATGCTGAGAATCATTCTGACTCTAGTCCTCATCCCCAATTCTAGTTTCTGGTTGGCTCTGCTTCCTGTACTCAATAGATTGAAAATCAGGTCAAAAAAGAGAGACTTCCCCCTACAATGCTAATTTGATTTTGTACCATGCTAATTTATATTATCAGTTCCTGGACTAAAGTAATAGAATTATGAAGATCACGACATGATGTTTTAGTGGAATTGTGGCTTCAAAAACACAGAAAATCACAGGAGTTGATTGAGGGGCTGACCAAAAAGCCAAAATA